TCTGTCTTCCATTCCACAGGGGCTAGGTACTTCTGTCAATACAGTTTTAAGTACTAACCAATGCTCTTTTGCCTATTCTTGTTGCTCAAGATCCCAAGGAGAGCCCTAAGCTGCATGAAGAAAAGAGGGATGAAATAAAGTTAAGTGGAAAGACTAAAGAAAGATGCAGAGGAGATAAGGAGTTTAGTGGAAGAAAGGGAAGGGTGAGGGGTAATAAGTAGGGGAAATTTGGAAAAAGGTTAATTGTTTGAGAAGAGAAATGAAGATTGTAAGGTGCAATGTTAGAGGGTTAGAGAGGGCAAGGAAAAGCACCACTATTAAAGAGTTGCTAAGAAAGGAGAAGCCAAATAATATTATTTTAATTCAAGAATCTAAGGTGATGGAATTTTATAGAAAATGAGTTGGGGGTTTTTGTAAAGCCAGGGGTTGGAATTGGGTTGTGTCCTTTGTCTGGGGCTTCAAGTGGTATTGTGACTGTTGAGGATTTTGTGCAGTTTTGTTTAGATTTGTTAGTTGTTTTTGTTTATTATTTGTTTAGATAGGAAGTGGGGACCACACCACTCTTGTTGGGACCCTTTGGAGTGATGTTTTTAAGTTTTTTATGCGGTTTTATGTGTCAGCTGCCCTATAAGGGCATATTAGTCATTGTACTATCTTTTTAATTAAAGTATAAATACTAATGGAGAGGGTGGCCAGATTCGATTTGTTCTCTATTTCTTTCTCAACTTATCCTCTTTCTCTTCTTCCACAAGAAACTCTTCTTTTCTTTGTAGATTTTTGATTCAATAGTTTTCTACTTGGTACTAGAGCAAGACTAGGGTTTTATTGGAGTTCGTCCATACAGTCCTAGATTAGCCGATTACATGAGGAGATAAAGGGCTGATCGATCTACTTTAGACTGCCTAGTTCTTAGATTTTTTGGTGGGTATCAGTCATCAAGAGGGTTATCTGTGTTTTGGCATCAAAATCAGGAAGAACTAGAGTGCGGGAAAGAGTCCTATTTAAGTTGGACCTATTGCAGGAAACTAGGAAGCTAAAGTGTTAAACCGGCTAATACTTTTATTGACTTGAACCTCAAGATTAATGCTTTGGATGGTAAATTGGTTATGAATGCTTGGAGAAATTAGAGGATGGTAGGCCAGCTACTATATTTATGTATGACATGCCCAGACATTTCCTATGCTGTTAGTGTTGTGAGTCAGTATATGCATGCTCCTCAAGTTCAGCACTAGGAAGCCATGGATAGCATACTTGCATACCTAAAGAAGCATCTTGATAGAGGAATTCTGTTCTCAGATATTTATAAAAAAAATCTATTCTTAGATCATGGGAATTTGAAACTAGAGTCCTATACATATGCGGATTGGGCAAGTTATCTAGATGATAGGAGATCCACGTTAAGGCTATGCATGATAGGAGGAAATTTGGTTTCATGGAAGAGTAAAAAGCAGTTAGTGGTGGCTAGGTCATGTGCGAAGGCTGAATATAGATCTATAGTCCATGGTGTTTCAGAATCACTTTGTGTTAGATCCTTGTTGATTGAGATATTGGGATAGATGCAGAGGAGCCCATGGTATTATATTGAAACAACCAAGCTACAATCAATATTGCCCACAATCCAGTTCAACAGGATAGGACAAAGCACATTTAGGTTGATAGACACTTCATAAGAGAAATGATGACAACCGGAGAAGTCTGCTTGCCTTGTGTCTCTAAATTACAGTATCTTCACCAATGTTTTAAAACGCGGAGGCGTGACACGAGGCATTCCACTATCTAGAGGTGTGAGGCGTAGTTCAGAATGCAAGAGGCGTAAGCCTCCCAAACATGAGGAGGCGTACGCCTCCTTAAGAGGAGGGGGGTTTGGAGGAGGAAGGGGGGATCTCATTTTTTCTATATTTTTAATAAAAATCTTTTATATTAAAAAGAATAAAGGTGCATAACATTAGTTGAAAGCGGGGGGTGTTTTGTCGACATTGGGAAGAATTGGAAGACATTAGAGGATTGTGGGATAGACCATGGTGTATAGGAGGGGATTTTAATGTTATAAGATTCTTGGAAGAAACTAACAATCTGAGAAGGAGAACGAGTATGAGGAGTTTTAATCAAGTCACTGATGCTTTTGGGCTGAAGGAACAACCTTTCTCTTATAACAATTTTACTTGGTCCAATTTATAGGTCAACCTAATTTGCTCCAACTTAGACATATTTTTATTCACAGATGACTGGGAGGATCATTGGAGGAGTCTAGTCTCTAGAGCCTTGCCAAGTGTGACTTCAGATCATTGGTCAATTTCTATTTTTGAGGAAAACACAGGTGATAGAGGTTGGTGGGAGGAGAGCAATCCAACAACAAAATGGGAAGGAATGAGGTTCCATTGGAAGTTAAAATAGCTTAAAGGCAAGATCAAGGAATGAGATATACAATAAATTTGGAAGGATTGGTGATCAAATGCAAACTCTGATTACTAAAATTGAGGAGCTAGATGGAAAGGAAGTGTCTAGTACTTTGTATGAAAGTGACAGGTGTCAACTCAGTTCAAACCAGAGAAGATGAGCCAGAAAATGAAAGGGTGTGTTTTGATGATCCACACGTCCAAAAGGATTTTCTTGTATAGAAGAGTAGTGTACACAAATATATAAGGACAGATGTGTCCTCTTACAATAAAGAATAAAATAACACAATTATGGAAAGGACAGCTGTGACTTTATAAGAAAGAATAAAACAAAGAGAGAATAATGTACATAAGATACAACATAAAAGGGTGCTGTGCTCGCAAGCGAGCATCAGTTTGTCAACTAGAAATTGGTGACAAGCACGGGCCATAGCCTTTGTGAATAGGTCAGCGAGCTGTAAGGAAAAAGACATGTGCGACAAAGATGTGTCCAACAGAAAATTGATCTCTGATGAAGTGGCAGTCAACCTTTATATGTTTGGCTTGCTCATGGAAGACTGGGTTGGATGCAATCTTGATTGCACTTACATTGTTAGCATAAATCGGAATTGGAGATGCCAAGGAGATACCAAGGTCAGTGAGGAGTGTTCTTAGCCATATAATCTCACTACAGATAGAGGACATAGCCCTATATTAGAAGATGCCATGTGAAAGTGTTCCACGAATGTATCGGATAATACGAAGAACTGCAGTCATGTGCAGTTGTCAAGGAGAAGAGACAAATTAATTGACCACTTGGACAACATAAGAAATATCTGGATGTGTCATGGTAAGGTAGATAAGGCTACCAACAAGCTGTCGATAAAGAGTAGCGTCTGCTAGGGGGTCCCCACCATCCTTCGAAAGTTTCAGATTCATCTCAAGAGGTGTGTCAACCTGTTTGTCATCACTCAGGTTTGTAGATTTCACAGAATCCACTGCATACTTGTGTTGATTAACAAAATACCCATGGGAAGAATGAGTTGACTTCTATTCCCAAGAAAAAAGTAAGATGACCAAAGTCTTTCATCTTGCCCACCATCCTTCGAAAGTTTCAGATTCATCTCAAGAGGTGTATCAACCTGTTTGTCATCACTCAGGTTTGTAGATTTCAGAGAATCCACTGCATACTTGTGTTGATTAACAAAGTACCCATGGGAAGAATAAGTGACTTCTAGCCCCAAGAAAAAAGTAAGATGACCAAAGTCTTTCATCTTGAAGGACTGACTGAGAAGCTGCTTCAAAGAAGAAATGCCTCGACTGTCATCACCAGTAATGAGAATGTATCCACAATTCCACATATAGAAGTAATAGTGTAATTCCTTGGGGGCCTCTCGATATGAACAGTGAATAATTTGAGAAACTCTGAGTGAATCTTGCATCTGTGATCACTAAATGAAATTTCTCAAACTATGCCCTGGGGGCTTGTTTAAGATCATACAAGGACTTTTTTAAGTTGACACACCAAGGGAGAACCAAACCCCCCCCCCCCCCCCAAAAAAAAAAAAAAAAAAAAAAGAAAAAAACTCACAGAAAAACCAGCCACCCAGACAAGCAAAACAGAACTCAAACCAAAGGCTTCCCATCCAATGACCCGAGTGGAACAACATCAAATTTCTACTTTTTCCATACAACTGAACCTTTGGCCTACATGGTGCGTTAGATATCTCTGTGAACACCCTTATTAAAAGCATGGAACTGAACATCAGTAGGTTGATCATGGAAGGGGACTCAAAGTTAGTAGTAAGCTGTCTACAAAATGAGGAGATTGGTCGTGGAATTTTGCTAATGAAAAAATGAAAGTTTAAGTGTATTACACAAAATATGGAATTTAAGCTGCAGTGGGTAAAAAGAAGTTTAAATGCTTTTGCTGATGTTTTGGCTAAGCAAGGGGTGGGAAGGGATCAACTTTTTTGGGTTGTGTTGTAACTTGTAAAATCTGTGTCATCTCGGAGTGAGTTAAGAGAGCTTATTTCTCTCCATGGTGCTTCTTTGTACTTGTTTCCATAATTAATGAAATTCTTCTGTTATTGATAAAAAACACCTTTTTTTAAACCCACAAGTTGAGCAGAAGAGCATCTTGGTGAATAGGTGACTCCCCTTGCAATCTGCATCACACGAGCAAGTATGAAGAAGAATCCCAACTAAATTCCTTCTAAATGGAGAGATTTCATATAAATTGCAGTGAGAAATTTCTTTCAAAGCTTTTGGGAAGCAAAATTAGAATAGATAAATGTCATCTCTAGTAAAGCAATATTATTTGGGGTATTTTGAGATGGGGTTTGGGTACTTCAACCAGTGGTGTGGCCCATCTCAAAAATCAAGCAAACAAAGAATGAATTATATATGATGGAATCTTTATTTTGATGCATGGAGTTCTTTATAATTTTATTCTTCCTATTGAAAGGAATGGAAATAGTTGGAACTCTATGCCTTTAACTGTTTGTTTTTACTGTCCTAATTGTTGAGCCAAAAAAAGCCTCCATTTTAGTATAAAAATAAATGTCAACAGAATATATGCCCTATTCATTTGTATTATAAAATTTTCGTGTGTGATCTCTACAGGTTGGAATTTTGATTTTCTGTTATCGAAAGTGCTAAAAGCTCTGGGATTTCCAAAGTTGAAACATCCAAAGCTTATCCTCAAGAATAGTAAGTTATTATCAAACTTGAATGTGTGAATTTCTTTGGTCTTTGTTTGAATAAGAGAAGTTATTTTGGATTGTTAACATAATGTTCAGGAATATATATTGTCAAAGATTTTGGGCCTTTGGTTTGTGGGTTATGATTATTTATTTTATGTTCTAATAGATATTTGTTTATGCTTCCTATTTCCCCCATGTCTTCATTATTTGTGGAAATACCATATTAATTTTTATTTTTTGAGGCTTACTTCAAAACACCTTGAGGCTAGGCCCGCCTCTCCAAGTCCCAACTGACTTGCCTCTACCTTTAGTCTGCATTCGGCATTCCTAATTTTAAGGACTCATCTCCTTTTGGCTATTTCTTGGATTTGTTCTCATTTTTGTCTCCTTGATTGTCAGTGGGCTTTCTATTCGCCCTTATTAAATCCATGTATTTGGTTCTGAACAGAAAATTTATGTTTCTTCTGTTTATATTGTTTCCATCTGTATTTTTCTTTTTCATTCATATAAATTGATCCTTTTGCTTGAGAGGTTCCTATAAAACATGGTTGCTACTTTTAATTTGTTTATATCCCAGAATCAATAGAGAAATCTGAAACTCCTTGTTTAAGATTCACTTCTGCTCCAGCCAGATGTCAGCGAATGTTGAGTTTATGATTAGTTTAAATGGTATTGAAAAATCCATGATTAGTTATAAGCTATCAGTTTACTTTCTATGCCAAAAGCATAAAAGGTAATAATCATTATAAAATAAACATATGTCGCCAATTATGTTTATTAGAAACACCCCCATAATGTATGAAGGGGGAGTTTTTGTTCTGAAAAGCAAAATAACTCGTTATGCTAATAAAATCCTCATTATGTTAACTGAACTTAGTTATCTCTCCCGTGTAAGAACTTGGACGGGTGAATATAACAAAATGGTGAAGAGAGAGCGAGAACGGGACCGGGATAAAGACAGAGACAAAGACAGAAGAAGAGATAGAGAAGACCGTGACCGTTCCAAGGACTCTGACTGGGACCGGGAACGGGATAGAGACAAAGACAAAGACAAAGACAAAGACAAAAGAAGAGACAAAGAAGATCGCGATCGGGACCGGGAACGGGATAGAGACAGAGACAAAGACAAAAGAAGAGACAGAGAAAATCGTGATCATGACCATGACCGTACCAAGGACCGGGAACGGGATAGAGACAGAGAGAAAGACAAAAGAAGAGACAGAGAAGATCGTGACCGTGACCGTGAGCGATCACGACATACCCGTTCTCGGACTCGATCTCCTGTTCATCGATTGAAGTCCAGATCTCGTTCGCCCTCTCGTTCTCGCTCTCGCTCTGTTGGACGATCTCGTCGCCACCAACACTCCCCATCGCCAGACTCACGTCGCAAACACCAACACCGTAGAGATGAAGATGACAAGGACCAGCAACGAGCTGCTGCAGTATCTGAGTTCGTTGATGGCATCGCAAGGGAGCAGCAACTTAAGCAACATGATTCATCAGATTCTCCTCTAGCTACTGCCGGTGATGCAGAAATTGATTCTGATGAGATAGAGCTGATGATGAAATTAGGGATTCCAGTAGGGTTTGATTCTACGAAAGGAAAGCCAGTCCCTGGTGCTGATGTAAGTGGAGTCAGGGCTGTGACAAAACGACAGCCAAGACAATATATGAATAGGAGAGGAGGTTTCAATCGGCCACTGCCACCAGAGCGTAATCGGTAGATTGCGTTTTTAGAGGGAGGGTGGAGCATCTATTGAATCCAATCAGGTGGAAGTTGGGTTGGCCCTCTACTAAGAGGATTACAAACACTAGACCAATTGATGGTCTGGATATCAGACTTTTAAGACAGAATTCCCCCAAGATAACAGACTTGTCGTTTTGTTAAACTGAAATGATTTGTATAATGGATACTGAGAGGTTGTAGTTAACATCTGATTTGTGAAGTTGATTTACGAAGTGTAGCTATGAATTGTATTTTTTCCCGCCACCATGTATCCAACTGAATGGCCCATCTTTCAAAATTTTCAGTCCATCTATGTTGTCAAAGAACCTCATATTCTCCTCCAGTCTACCCCTCCCAAGACCCTACCTTGGCCATGGTTGGGACCTGACATTGCATTGGGTACCCAATATCCTTGTTAGCATAATTTCTCTTCTCGTAAATAAGGGTCCGCTTGGTTTACAGTTGGAATCGGAATTTGAATCAAAATCTATCTGAATCCGAATTGGTTTATTCCTATAATTTGTTTGGTTTAGACATGTATCTGTATGGGAATTGAAATCAAGTTGGAATGGGATTTCATTCTCAAGGGAGGGAGGGTTGGGAACAAGGTTTTAAAAATTGACTCGGAGATGAAACCATTTTGGCCATCAGTTTTTGGGCCGATGGATGACCCACTCCAATTGAAAAATTAAAAAGAAACAGAATGGGTCAGCAGGTCATTGACCAAATCAACGATTTTTGGCCAAGGATCAGGTTGAGGGTGAAATAAAATAATTGCTTGGATGATTCTTGGGCTGAACAGCCTGATCGTTTGGGTTAACAGCAGTTTGAAAACACTGGTCGGGAATGACCGTTTTGTCAAATGGAAAAATGTTAATCCTCTAAGAATGGAAATAGGATTCCGATTCTGCCCAACCACACAATTGATAACATTCCAATTCTCATTCCAGACCCTTATTTACTGTGAACCAAAAGGGCTTTTGACTTTATCTAACCAAAAACAATTGTTTTTATTTTATTTTTTGTATATTCCATTATTATATTTAAAAATCCTTGACAAGGGATGCATTATCAAGGTAACTTGGAATTTTAATCTAGGATTAGGAGGAATGTTTGGACCATCTGCCACTTTAAATTTGAATTTTAAGCTGCATGCATAATCAACTTACTCAAAAGCTCAAAAGTTCGCGGTTTAAACATGAGATTTCAAGCCAGGAGAATGGCTAGATTATCAGAATTAACTTACTATTATCCTCATTATGTCTGCATCTATTATATATGTTCTGCATCGAGGCACCATATTACAGCATACGATCCGATCGAGGGTTAACTATGGTTGTGCCCTTCAGATCTCTTTCAATTTCTTGTAAGTTGAGACATAAGATAAGGTTCAAAATATTGTAAGGGAAAATTCCCAATTAGTATTTTGTACATTGTGCCTAGTACTACTTTGGTTCTTGAATTTTAAAATGCGACAATTCAATACTCTAAATTTCAAAATGTGATAATCCAATACCTGCCATTAATCAATAGTTAATTTGCCGTTAAGTGACATTTGAAAAACACACAAATGTCATGCGAGTGTCATTTAATTTTCTTTATCAACTATCTAAACGTTGACAAAAAAATAACAGTCCCAAATCCTTACTTCTTCCATTCAAGAAAATTGGGTTTACGTTTGAGTGGGCGTTCTGATGACCTCAATCTTTTTGAATAGAAGAGGCAAGGATTTGAGACTATTAATTTTTTTTTTCAATGTTTGGATTGTTGATAAAGAAAACTAGATGATACTCGAAGGCTTTTGCGTCTTTTAAAATGTCACTTAATGGCTGATTAACAGCTAGTTAACGACAAGTACCGCAGTTTGTTCTTTCACATGCCACATGTTAATGATTTTGGACTAAACTGGCTGTTTTTGGAAATTCAGGTACTGCATTGACATTTTAAAATGGAAAATCCCCAATTAGTACCCTGTACTTTGGGCGTAGTGCCACTTTGTTCCCTGAACTTTAAAATGCGACAATGTAGTACCCGAACTTTTAAAACGTGACAACCCAGTACCTGCCATTAACTAACTGTTAGTCAACCATTAAGTGGCATTTGAAAAAGACACAAATGCCCTTTGGGTGTCATCTAATTTTCTTTATCAACCATTCAAACATTGACAAAAAATTAACAGCCCCAAAAACTTGACTCTTCTATTCAAATGTGACCTCAACTTTCTTGAATGGAAGAGGCAAGTATTTGGTACTATTAATTTTTTGTCATCATTTAGATGGTTGATAAAGAAAATTAAATGACACTTGAAGGGCATTTTTGTCTTTTTCAAATATCACTTAACCGTAGGTTAAGACTTGATTAACGGTAGGTACTAGATTGTCACGTTTTGAAAGTTCGAGTATTGAATTATCGCATTTTAAAGTTTGAGGGACCAAAGTGACACTAGGCCCAAAGTACAGGGTACTAATTGAGAATTTTCCCATTTTAAAATTGGGGTAATAAAATAAAATTAGGGGTATTAATTTGAAATTTAACCCTTTCTAAATTAACCAACATTAAACTCTAAATTAACCAACATTAAACTACTGGAAACTGAATTTTTGAAAAAACCAAACTGAAACTGAATGCATCGGTTTGATTTCTGAATTTCTTGCCTTTTAATGGTTAAAATAATTGAATAAATAAAACATTCAAGTGAATTCTAATAAACCCAACTTTGAACTTCAGCCATGGAAGAGGTCACGATCTCTTTAATTTATTCACTAAAATACAAAGCTGATGCGGGCTAGCCAGGCCCAGCCCATTACGGGTTGGGAGGCCCAACCCACTAACGCCTAATAGCATTAGCCACAGTAGGGGGAAGCCCTGCTGCCTTCGTACGGAGCCAACCACGAAGCAATTAGGCGTACTCGCAAGGACCTGTCACCTACCTCGTACGACCCTCATTTGGTGTGTTCATCTCCACCTACCTCTAACTCGCTCAAGTATAAATATAAGGTAACTCTCCTTTGACAAGGGATCTAGTTCCCAGAATTCTGGTACAACTCTCATTTACTTCCAACACCTACCCCACTTCCAGTGCACCCGAGAACCACCATTGAGGCCTCGTCTGCACCTCCTCCTACTTTACACCTCGTACTAACTTGAGTGTTGGAGTTTCTGCCTTGGGTCTCCACTTGAGGCCTCTAACACCTCTTGTTTTGTAGTATCTTGGATCTCCAGGAACTTCGTTACCGAGACAACAACCAACAGTCCTCGACTTTTACTATACTTAGAAGGGAGCATCTCACCTCGGCTTATAGTCCTCGACCTTGGCTTACCCTCTTCAGAGCCCTCAAAGCCTTCGGCCTGCCTTCAGAACTTGGGAGTGAATTTACCCCGTTGCCCTCGGTTAATCCGAGCAACAACAATTGGCGCTGTCTGTGGGAAGCGTTGCTAAGACGACCCCTTAAAGAACAAAAAATATATAATCTCTAAGCCCTCCTAAGTTCAAAAGTCATGGTGCAAAGAACTAGAACTTAGCCACCTATGATCAATTTTAGGCTATCCTTGATCGTTTGGACTACCTCACTCAGCACATGGAAGAAGTCTGCCCCCAAGCTGGAGGTCCCTCTCGAGGCGACCGCCCTGCTGGAGTGTTAAAGGATCAGGGTTGACGCGAGCACGTCGAGCCCCTAGCCCTCGGCTAGGGCAACAACTTGTTGGCCGAGCCATCGGAGTCGGGTAATAGCCGACCCCCCAGTTCACCTCGAAGGAATGCCCGACCTCCCAGTTGAAGGAAAGAAGTGCCCATTCGATCCGAGGACAGTCACCAGCCTTCGGAGCAGCACCACTGCCGCTGAAGGGAGGTTCCCAAGGATGATGGTGTGCACCTCGGCCGCCCCGGAGTTCACTCCCGAGGTGAGAGCCGACACCGCGCCACTCCCCTGCCTGTCTCGGATCTCTGGGACATTCTGAATGGTCGTCGTGCACGACCCAACCTCGGAGTACTTGGGAGTCTGAGCTGACACCCACTGAGCCTGTGAAGACAGAAGTAGGGCCCATGCCCCCGCCGACTCGGGGCTTTTTGAATTGCGAGCCGAGCTTGGGGTCGTCAAAGACGAGCTCCGCCAAGTTAAGGAGAGCCAGGCCGACGCCCCAACTAGTCATGGCAACTCCGCCGGCCACATGGACGCATTCACCCCGGAAATCATTTTGAAGCCTCTCCCCCCACACTTCAAGGCTCTTTTACTTTGGAGATGTACGACAACTCCTCGAACCCTGATGACCACTTGGAGAGTTTCCGAGCACTCATGATACCTTACGGGTATTCTAATGCCATGATATGCCGAACTTTCCAAGCCACCTTCAAGGGGGCAGCGCGCCACTGGTTCTCTAGCCTCCCCTTGAGGTCAATCAGTTCGTGGGAGCAGTTCACCAATATGTTCATCACCCGCTTCATCAACAGTAGGCAGTGCCAGAAGAGCGTCATCTCGCTCATGTCCATTAAACAGAAGCTAGGCGAGAGCTTGCAGTCTTACATCGACCGCTTTTAAAAAGAAGAGCTCGAGGTCAGTGACCTCGACCCCATGGTCTCAATGCATGCCACCATCAATGGATTCCGAGCTGGCTCCGCCCTCAAGTGTTCGGTCGCCAAGACCCCACTGAAGACGAAGCTAGAATTCCTCAAAAAGGCCCAAAAGTACATTGCGGCCTAGGAGGCTTCGGCCGGGGACCACTAGGAGAAGGAGACCGAACACAATGGTGGGCCCTCCGGAAAGAAAAGAATGAACGAAGATCGCTGCGGTGATGGCGGAAAAGATAACAGGAAGCCATCGGCCTCGACCACGGCTTATAGCCAGTATACACCACTCAACTCATCCCGGACCCAGATCCTGATGCAAATAGGCGAGGAGAAGTTTGTGATGTGGCCAGAAAAGATGAAGAGGAACCCCAAGAGGGGGAACCCCAAAAAGTACTTTAATTTTCACCGCGGTGTTGGCCACGACACCGAGGACTGCTATGAGTTGAAGAGCGAAATAGAGTCCCTCATCTGCCATGGACACTTGAAGCAATTCGTCAGAGGTGAAGTCGGCGCTTTGTCCTCCCAGCAGCAACAAAAACAACAGCAATAACAGCAGCAGCACCAGCAGGTCGCTGGAGTCATCAACGTCAACGTTGGGGGCTTGGCCTCAGGTGGAGCCTTGGCTTCGTCCCTCAAGGCCTACGCCAGGCAGTTGAACATCCAAGGGCCAGCCTCCAAGAGGCCAAAGCAGCACGAGGAC